AACTACTGCTTGTACTCTAAATATGACAATCAACCACAGAATTCCCTAAACCTACAATGTGTTTCAGGTGAAACAGTTTCGCTACCAGAAGGGAAAGTATCTGGTTGGGGTGTGTGTCTAGCATGACAGGGCTAATAATTAAAGAATCTTCTTTGACACGCCTGGCCATTTTCAATGGACAGTAATGATAATTTGAAAGAATAATGAACAACTTGGCTCATAGTTTTGAATATATGTAGGAGATTGCCGGGCACAAAAGGAGAGCAAGAGCTTCTTAAATGCTTAGCAAACCTTGTTACATGTCTTGATTGTGTGTGATTTGAATAAAGTGTAATGAATTAACCCACCTTCGTTATAAGCAGAAGGAAAACCTTTGACTCTTACATAAACAACAAAATTAAACAATTTTTGCAACATTTCTTGTTCAAATACTACTTTTTTTCAGTTGTAACCACTTTACATTTTACAAATACTGGTACTCTATGTAAAACATTTATCTACATGCAATATACTTTTTACAGTATATACAAAAAGATACTGCGTGATTTCCTGTACATTTGATAAATAAGTGAAAAACAGTATACACATATACAAATATTGTTTAAAGTGACTTGACACTTCAAAAACGTTTTACAAAACCTATCAATAACCAGCTCAGTCTTTAAATTGTGAGTGATAAAATTTTTAGTTTGTACAGAAAATTATACAGTGTATTTGATAGCAATATGAATTGCAGTTCCTGCAGAATCTTTCTTCATGAAATGAAATGTTCCTAACATTCCAAGGCTAGTCACAGAGGCACCAGACTAGGCTAACCAGTTATCTTAAACTTCACCAACAAAGTATTTTTCTTGGTGTACTTTGGTTGATTAAAAATCTCAGTTGATGCAAAGTCTGGGTAACCAAAACCAATTACATTGAATGGAGCTACAGGTTCCTGAAATGCACTCAGTTCAGACTGAGCCACCACTCTTTTTGTGATATGGTGTTGGGACTCCATAACATCACACTGATCCTTTATAGATAACTTAAAACCCTTTGAAAATGGCCATTCCAAGTGCTCATCATAATCACCCCTCATCACATGAACAAACAAAGCCACATGTGTACCATCTCCATTCTCCAAACCATCCTCAAGCACAATTTGTACCCATGTGGACTGGTGTAAAAACCTGGACTATACATCACCGTACTTGCTCCACTGATGTCATCCTGGTGACACTTGGCAAGATTTTCTATCTTCCAGAGGTAGATTCCATCACATGAATGCCCTTCTCCCGGTAATTGTGAAGAAGAGCTCCCCAAAAAACCTGTCGGCCGACTGTCAGTCAACTGTCGGCCGACAGTCGGCCGACAGTTGACCGACAGGTTTTTTGGGGAGCTCTTCTTCACAATTACCCTTCTCCCCAATGTAACCTATCATTTCAGGAATAGGAAGATTATCATCATTTAAGCAGTTCAATTTTTTTTTAGGGAATTAAGTTCATTTCCTTGCACTTATTGAGAGTTGGTTCTCATTATTTTATGTTTTAAGGATCTTAACACTCATAAGTCTAATAACTAATTAGAAACAGTAGGAATAAATCACATTTTGGTGACCGTCACATGACTGTCCATAGACAGGGTTGACAAAATAAGCTGGCAACCACCACATTTTACCATCTACTCTGACAAATGCAACATTTATTTTGAATGCTTGTGGCTCAATTTTTAACAAGGAAGCATGACATTGATGGAAATAAAGTATTAAGTGCTGCCTACTTTGTATCACAGTCTGGCTATTCATGCTCTTTTTGACAAGCCTGCTGACAGAGCCAATAAAGCTGTCAACACTGTGTCAAAGATTGACGTGGCATGAGGATGGGATATATGATGCAGAGTATAAGAGATGGAGAGTTTGAACATTTAGCTCCACTCAACTTAGAAGCACAACTGAATCACAAACCTGTCAATTAACGACATTTTTTAAAGAGAGCAAAACAGGACACTTACTTGATTTCCTGTTTAAGCACCAAGCTGTGCATTTCCTTCTGCTGGAGCTCTAAACAGTTCACTTGGCTGGAAAGCTCACAAACAGTTTGTTTGAGGGCACCAACCTCACTTTCTAACTGCTCAATCTGTTTTTCTTTTCTGTCAACAAGAGATTCATTTTCACCCTTGGATTTGACTTCTATTTGGTTTGAATCTTTTCTTGTGACTTCCATTTGATAGCTTACTACAATTTTCATTAAATCCATGATTTCATGGAAATGCTCATTAGCAAGGTGTTTTCCGATATCAGATCGTAAGCCCTACAAAAAATAGAGAAGACTTAATTAGTCTAACTATGTATGAACTAAAGAATTATAATTTTTCAGGCTCCTGGGAGAATTTCAGGTAATCAGGTAAACTTACAAGGAAAAACTGACAACATCAGCAAGTGCAAAGGGCATTTGAACTGTTTGGGTAATGATGCCATCGCAATTTCTAAAAGAACTTGGCTCTTACAGTGAAAATTACATGTATACAACTTCAAAATATTAAATAACTGCTTGTTAAGTACTGTTTTGTTACCTCAAATGCACATCCAACAAGGTTAAAGGGACATTCTACCTTCACTTTTGGGCAATAGTGTTCCAAGTGGAATTTCATCTAATTAAGAAAAAAGACACTAACAAATACATAACAATAAAGCAGCCAGCTGAAAGATTCAGCTAAATTGAGGATTGCTAGGGATGCAGTTTCTTTAACCAGCTGCTAACTCTGTTTAAATAACCAGCCCATAGATTCAGTCCCATTTTCTACTACATTTTATGCTGTAATTTCATGTGTTGATACCACTGAAACCTTTATTGAGTGGTCACATGCATGGAATGTCAGGATAACTGTGTAATACAGGTTCCACAGATAAAGCCCATTATAAAAAACAATAAACAGCACCACTTTATGGCATAACTGACCACTTAGTTTAAAGAATCTTTCTCAAAAATACTACAGTAACTTAATTTCATTTTGGGAGAGAAACACAAATTTAAAATAACTTGAAAGATCATTCTTAGTTTTGGTTGAGTGATTCTGCTTTAATTGACCATTCAATACAGGTGTTAGACAATACAAACAGACCAATGGGACTTAGGAAAGAGTGAGTGTGATCCCTTAACTCTTTAACTCCCATGAGTGACTAAGACAGAATTTCTCCTTACAATATCAAGCAGACAAGTAACAAGAACGAAGAAAAATATAAGTTAGGGGATTATAAATTGATCCATAAAATTCCCTACATAAAAAATTGCTACATAAAATTGTTACCTTGTCTCTTTTAATGCCCTCCTCTTTACATTTTTCACATTGCTGAGGATACTTGGAGCAGTTTTCAAAATGTTTCTGAAAAGAACAGTCACTTCAAATCATGATTAGATAAAAAAAAAAATTGACATCACCAACTTAGAGGAATAAGTCTGTGCTTGAACCAAGTGGCAGTTTTCAAAATGTTTCTGAAAAGAACAGTCACTTCAAATTATGATTAGGTAAAAAAAAATTGACATCACCAACTTAGAGGAATAAGTCTGTGCTTGAACCAAGTGGCTCTGATCCAGCTCGAGCATATCCTGTTTTTCTTAACAGGAGGCAACTACTTCATTAGCACCTTTTTCTTTTTATCGTTTTCGTTGCCACCTTATCACCACCATATTGCCACCTAGCATAATTTATTGATATATATATACATATACATCAGCAATATGCCTCTCTTCGTGTTTTTTGTGCTAAGCGTAGTTCAATAACATACCGCCATTTTTGCTAGTCTTTTTCCTTTTCCTTTTTTTTTGGCCCTAGCATTTGCAGTATCAATATTGGTCTTTTCTGTGGTGGTAACTGTGTAACTGCTCTATAGTCCTCTTTCTGTCCTGTTTTGTAATTTCTTTATATCATATACTGTGTAGCTTAATTGTAATTGTTTGTTATTTTAGTTTTAACCAACATCATTTTACTGTTGAGGAGTTAAAGTAGATGTTTTTTTGTTTCTACACAATGTGGAGTCGTTCATTCTGTTGCCACAAATTTCAATTTAACATAGTGAAGTTCATTATTATAATTAAAGTACTTGACAAGAAAAGTTAATTTTTTCTTTGGGTCACTTTTATAACTTAGAGGCTTGCCTCAACTTCGTTCCATAAAACTGGATCCTCACAATGTTCGCATGGAATTTTCCTGTACAAGCACTCAGCTTCCATGTGTTGGTGGATGTCTCTCCTTTGTAGCTGTTTGCCACAGTTGTGTTTACAGTTCACAACAACAAATTGGCATCCACTTAAGTGATCCTGTCAAGCAGAAAATTGAGAGAAGTACATTAATCCTATGTAGCCACTGATATATCAGAGAATAAATCTCTTGAGTTTCAAGGGCTGAAGTGAAAACTTTTGAGAATTAAAAACTTTCAAATCGAGGGCATTTTCCTCTTATACAGTACTTCAGGAAGCCAGGAGAGGTTGATCTGTTTTAATACCTTTTTGTTATCCTTTCTTCATTATACTCATACTCAGATATTAAACATAATAACATTTATAAACTAGCTACAAAAGGGAAAAGCCAAAGGCATATGCTGTTAAATCAATATTTTAATTTTTTGTTTGTTTGTTTTTTGGCTGTGAATGTGTTTTTTAGTGAGGTTTGGTATCTATGTAAGTCCAGTCAACCTGCAGTCTTTCATGGTCACTAATCTAAATCTAGACAATATCAAACTGGACAGGTGCTATTACCTGATAATTCAACATACATGTACCTCATGATGCTACTCATTGCATGAGATCATTCAGCGATAAACATGATGTTGAAAACATGCCAACACATGTTTCCTTATAAATTAAATTTCCAATGATCTAGAAGAACACTTCTCTGTTATCATGTCTGCAGTTCAACACAAGCTGAGCACATAAGACAACATTTTTCTCTCATAGAACAAAGATCCTTCTCATGAGTTTCCAGTTTCTTATATTCACCTATTTCCAGTCTCTTAGTGCAAGGTAACAACAAAACTATTTCCCATAGTTTCTGACATATGAGTTGTAAAATTGTTTATTACTGTTTGATTCTTAGAGTGTCTTCAGTCAATTACTTTCTGTGAAACTCGAAAAATCATGAATATCAGAATTCATTACAAAATATTGTTTCTGCATCTTAATGAATATGCCTTTAACAAACATCAGAGGTAATTAGTCTGTGGCTTTGAGGTTTGCATGTATGTCTTACAATTTTTGTGATTGGTCAGTACACAAATGCCCTGTCACATTCACTTCAAAGTGTTTATAACGTTTTTCTGAATTTAACTGGAAACAACTAACATCTTCAACAAAATTGACTTAAAAGTTTTGTTACAATTTACCAATTTAGGCTAATTAAGTTATAATTACCACATGATGTTTCATATTAATTAATGTTTATCTCATCATCGTGTACCAGATGAGAAATTTGACTAAAAATGCAAAATATACTGTCTAAATTTCAATGCTTTTCATATTCAACTTGGCCTTTTCACTCCTAGGAATTTCTCTTCACAACATCCATTCATTTTCAAGTAGAAAAGGTGACAAGAAGTGGAAAATTGATCAACTACATATTGCTTGATTAACCATCAAATTTTACTTCAAAAAGTGTAAGTGATGAATTATAACCAGTGTGGAGAATAATTATTTAGATCTTCAGAGTTAAATGTTCAACCCATTACACCAACATCAGTATATGTAATTATCCATATTGCTCTCCATATATTTTATAACTGTGGTGCAGGTAAAGAGAATCTGTTCAGCAATCAAGAACATCTCTAGTTGGTGATCATTTCCTTTATTCTTGTGATCTTAATGTGTGATTCTGGGGTGATATTGTAAGGAGAAATTGGAAGCTTGTCACTTAAGGTTTAAGAATTAAGAGAAAAGTGCTTTACCTGTGATTCTGACAGAGGTGTTCTATCCAAAGGGCAAAGTGAGTCACCATGGCTATCCCTAAAACAAGTAATGAAGGATATGAATGAATAAAACAAATGTTACAATCTTATGGGCTGCATTTCTCACTACCTAACTGCTTAGTGACAGGTTTTGAGTGAAGTGCCTAGCATGCGACATGACCCATCAGTATTATCATTTATGAGTCTGTCCTCTTGTTCAGTACTGTATTGCTAGAGCGGTTTTATATTTTGGTATAGTTTAAACTTTAATATTATAATAGGCAGTTGAAAATCTTATATTGATAATTGCACAAAAAAGTGAATAAATAACTAAGCTGCAACCATTTTGGTCACTATGGCATGTAGAAAAAACTTTTTCAGTAAGAGTCACCAAAGAGGCAACCTGTCTTCAGTGGTCAAGTATACAATAAGCAAGCTGTAACATTTTCAATTTTATTATCTCGAATTAAAGGGAGATAACATCAGCCTAAACAACACAACACACAGAGGCTAGTTTTGGGACTTGACAGTTTATTTAATGCATATATATATCCTACCTAAATAGCACACTTGACTACTACATAAAAGATATTTAATGAACATACTATAACAATGATCCAGTAACCAGGAATAAATTACAAACATCAATGAAATAAAGAAACAATCAAAACTGTCAATGGTGTGGGTGAGAGGAAAACTAAAACTTTCTTAGAAGCTAGAAATAACTTGTGGCCTGCTTGTTGGCTTGATTACTAATAACACATGCACAGATACCTAAGCAGTAATATATTAAAGTAATTCCGCAATTAAAACATATATATAGCATAGCATACATATATATAAACATAGCCTTTGTTTCTAACGAAAGCCATGACTCTTATGCCAAGCAAATTGCTCAATCCGAAGAAAAGGACTAACACATAACCTGCCTGTACCCAGTACAGACCTCTCAGTTATCGATGTCTAGATTCATACTAATAGAGACTTTATTCACATGAAATATTATGAACTAGTTCTCAAGCAATTACTTGAGAGGCCATGTTAAAATTCAACGACAATTGCTTGCTATTACTTCGATTAAAATTATATTTCTGGCAACCATGTTCTGATTTCCTTTTGCCAATCTAGGGACTTTGAATAACCTTGAGCATAGGTGCACTGTACTAACACAATTAGTTTATTAGCTTCAATTTCTTAGTGTCATAGTTAATGAGGGAAAAGAGAAATATCAAGTTCGGAATGCATGGATTAAAATAAGAGCAAGTAATTCAGTTATATATACGTAACCATAACTTAATGCATTTGTCTTTCATTTGTGACTGTCATAGCCTTATATAGTCTCTATTTAAGTAATGACAAACAATCGCTCATACGCGAAGAAACCTAAAATTTTCCAAAGTACTCTTTCAGTGCACACTGAATTTACGCATCCGCCATTTCACTACCAGGTACCTAGGGTGGTCTGCAAACTCTAGGCAATCGATCGATCAAAATCGACACAGAATCAAATTTCAGACTGCCGAACAAACTGCTGAAAAATCGATCCAATATGCGAACTGATCGTTTAAGATTCGAAGCAAACAAATGACATGAAGGGATTTCAAAGTATTTAATATGTATATAAGATTAGTTATTTCTACTTTCTTGTATTATTCGACTATTTGTAATTTTAAAATCATTCTAATACAACATCCCAACTTCAACTACATTTCACATAGTACCTCATTGAGTGTAAAATGCATTCCCTACAGAATCTGTGGCCGCAGAACGTCTGCACAGGATTTCGAAGACCAAGATGACAAATAGTACATTTGTACTTGCTTTCCAATGGCGGATCAAACTCTTCGTCGTAACCTTTCACACGTCCATGACGTAAAGGTGAACCTAACTCATTTGGTACAAATGAATCATTGAGTGGCAAAAGAGAATAATTCTCCTCCAAAGAAAAGGACAGAGACATTTTACAACTGGTTCAAAACAGACTTCTTAACCAAGACAATAGTTAGCTCTCAAGTTCCTCCTTTTTCCCTACTAATGTTATTTACCCAAAACGCATTGGGGCATGGCAACATACCAATGGCCGACCTTGACCGAGCAGTGCCGATCCGAGCCGATCTAAAACGAAGTTGCTATATTCCGAACCAGTTTAGTCGCGTCGAAGAATAGGAATTTAAATGAAAACATAGAAGTTCCTAACAACATACCGCATAGATTATCTATATAATGGAGTAATTACTGCTTATTCCAGTTAAATGGATGAGGTTTGTGATAGAAAACCTTCTGAGGAAGATCTGCTCGGCTGTTGGGAGGTAACGTCAAATCCCAGAAAATTATTTGCCACAAAAATCAATAATGGTTTCAGTTTTGCTGACATTTCTCTCGACAATGAATGTTTTCAGATAGTGTCTTGCAAACTACAAGAAGAGAGATACCCAGACGTCGAAGGGTAACTTCTTATTCATTTCTGTAAACTGTATATTTTTTAATGATTTGAATAGCTCATCCTATTTTCTGTCTGTGAGCGCAAATGTTTTGTGGTGAAAATTTAATTTTGTTGGGTTCTATTTAGTCTCGAACGTTTATGCGACACTTCAACAAGCCCTTAAAATTACTTTTTAGTGATGTGGTCAAACACGCAGCTCTGTAGCGTTACTTTGATGTAGTTATTCATTGCTTTATTTTGAGATATAGAGACTGCGTATCTTTAGAGCCAACAGCATAAGTTAATAATTATATGATTAAGTTCTACCACTAATAATAATAATTTCCACCTGTTTTGTAACTTTTTTTTGATGGAGCTCTATCAAATGAATAAGGACACATCCTGGGAAATTGCCAAGAAACTTAATTTAAGAATACACATTTAGGGGAGCAAAGCTTATTGAAAAACAATCGCAGAGTTAAAATATTTAAAATATTATTACTGAAACAGCTGAAAGGGTACCTTACTTCACTCAAACTTTTTTGATAAGTTAAGTCTGTACTCAAGCCAAGTGGCCTACCCAGTTGGAGCTTATTCTGGTTTCCCAAGCATGAAGGGCCAAGGAGTAGCACTGCTTTCCCCTGGATGGGTAGCCAGTCCATTGCAAGGTTACCCCCCTCTCCCCCTAGTATTTCACCAGGCTTTCTTGTTAATTTTTTGGTATGCATTTATACTCTTGGCTGGAGAGGCACTACTTGTGAGTAAATGATAAATTTTGCCCAAGACCACAATGCATTGACCAGGGCAATAGGTCTGAGTTCGAGACCTGGCCTGGAGTTCATTGCACTTACTATTAGACCAATGAATTTCCCATCACCTGCTATCACCTTGTATGCAAAGAAATTTCTTCTTTGATTTGTTTTCAGTCATTTATAATCATCTAATCAGGTATTCTACCATTTATAATTAGCTATTTATTCCCCACTCTCTCAAACTGTGTCTTGTTCCTCTGTCCTCCTGCATATTTCTGTGAGTTTTTAATAAAAATGGACTTAATTTTTACATAAATTACTATTATATTTATGATTTCTTTGTATAGAATTGATAATCTGTTTCTTTTTTCAGGGTACAATTCAGTTTAGAGGAAGGTGGTGATCTGATCTGGAGTGTGCCTCCAACATCAGAACAAGATACACTTCCTTTCTTTTCTTGTGAAACATTTGTGGTAAGAGAACTTTAGACAAGTTAGTGTTTGCAAGCTTTTTGTTTGAACGCTAGAAATTTAATACCAAAGTGTCTCTCCTCTGGATCTGGAGATTATCTTTGGTAAAACAACTCGCCTCTAAATTATATTCATCATGCAATTCTTGATCTAGTAGTGTTACAGGTGTATTTGTTGAAATAATTGTTTGCTCTTGAATACTGTTCTGTTAAGAATGTTTATAACTTAAAGCTCTATTTCACAACTGTTTTTAGTGGCTGAATTAGATTTCTTCAAATCACAAATTGTTAATAAATTTATATGTGGGGCAAAGAGTCTTCTTTTTCTTGTGCAGGTCGATGGCTTTTCAGGAGAGTTGGTTTGTTATGGCAGCAATGTTGACAAAATTGCTTTAAGAGTAAGTCAAAAGTAGTATATTGCTGAATAAGTAACCTGTTTTGGTTGCTCGTAACAAGTAGAAAAAAGTTTTGACTACTAAATTTGTATTGAAAGATGCCAATTGGATGACCAGTCTTTGGTGGTTTTTATTTTCTTTTCTTAAAAAAATGCAACTTAAACATATCAACCATGTTAAGATCATGTAAGGTGGTGTCAAATGACAACTTGGTAACAGGTAATAACATTGCTGTTACTAATTTACTCCTTGTAAGCCTTGTATGCACTTTTTTTTTTTACCTTATTGGCCAATCTAAAGTCAATTGTCATCATGAAATACTTGGATCAATATCAGTATCTGGGCAACTGCCCACCTACCCCTCCCCTAACTCAACAACAGTCAATTGATAACAAATTAGGGTTAATGTTGGGTTAGGGGAGGGGTAGGTGGGCAGTTGCCCGGATACTGATATTGATCTAAATACTCCTTACATTGCCATACATTATGTGTCATTTTAGTACTGAGAATTTGGATTTGAATTCATCAGTATCCCTTAATTCATATATTACTAATTCTTTCTTCTTATTACCTTTCTACTTGAAAACAAATGGAAATTTGTAAGGGAAAAACCCTTTTTGCTCTCTTCAGGAAGTGAACAGCTTTTTGTTTTGAAGGATTTGGCGACAGGCTTGTGAATGTTACCCTTTTCTCCTTTCGTGGATGCCCTCCGATTCCTTCCATTCTTTCTTTTAATTTCTTTCCTTCTGTCACTCCAGTCTTGCATTTTTCACGTTTCTGTAATTTCTACATAAAGTTCCTTTTTGTGTACATGCAGTCAGTGTTACGGTTTCTCATTTCCTTACAACAGGCAATTCATTTCTGTAATTTTTTGCTCTATAGTGTTCTCTTGAATCAAACCAGCTGGTCTTGTGTTATGACAGACATTTAAAGTTGTGCTGTCGAAAGGTAAAAATATGTTCAACAGCTTTGCATTTAATATTTCCCTATCAACATCACAATGACTAGAAATGTAAAAAAAAAAATCTGGTCTGGAAAATAATGAATTCAGAATGAGCACCACATTCCAAAAACAATTGTCATTAGGATGACACTTCTCATTATTTATCATGACTTTAAACTTTTCAGAAATTGGTTAAAGGCGTCACTCTGTAAAGGAAAATGATAGTTTATTAGACTAATTATTTTCTGCTCTACTCTAACGTTTGTCAAAGTTTATAATAATTATATCGCTGTGGCAAATTATTTTGCCGTACTGAGATCCAAGCCCTATATATTTTTTCAGTGACTATGCCAGCTTTGTAAAATGCATTATTACAATTTCCCAATTTTGCATTTATCTTTTTAATTAGTTTCTCAGAATCTGTTTGGTAGACCCTTTCATTTTGGAATTAAATACATGTGTTTTCAACCCAGGTGGATCAAGTGAACTCTACAAATCTTTCACATGGTCCATATTCCTTACTTTCTGCGTTGAAGGAGGGCTTTTTCACAGATATCACCCTTACTGCTAGCAATGGTGAAAAGGTGACTCATTAACAATCTAATAGTTTGAATAATGAAGTCAATTTTGGCTTTTATAGTGAATTTTTATTTAATAGTAGAGTCTGGGAATCAAGCACAAATATCATGCCACATTTAAGGCCAGCTGAATATTTTGTATTTTTGTCCATAAAAAAAAAGACCTGTTTAACCGGTAATGGTCCACTAAACACAATACGCCTCTCTATCTGCTTCACTTTTTCAGCCTTATGAGAAATAAGCATAGAATCAAGCAGTTGGATAACAAATTATAATAGTTGTTTGTATTTTGACATGCCCTATGCGCTCTTTAAAATATGGCACAACTTGTAAAAATACTCAGCAATACTACACACCAAAATGTCTAATTAGATATATTTTGCCTATTTTATTTAAGTCTATACATGTAATATTATAGCTGAGGCAGTTACTAAGTATTATTAGCTAATACTTAATATTTCCAAATACAGTCATATGCAGTGGGTATATTCAAGGATTTAAGCAAAGACATTTTTGAGATGCAGATGGCAAACAAAAGAGTAATTCTGGCATACTTTGGTGTAAATTATTGACTGTTAGGTCATGGTTTTTGCATTTTAAACATAAAAGGTGCAGACCAGAAAGGTAAGTGAGCACTAGAAATGAGATCTTTAACCTTTCAGCTGCTGTCCATGTTTCAAAAACATTTGTGCATGAGCCTCCTATATTTCTTGACCCAGAAGATGTTTTGATGATCTCAAACTTTTCTGCATCATCAGATTTCTTTTATTATTAGTTCATGATTGCAATGTTCATTGTTTACAATAAATGTATGGATTGACATCCTGGGTGACAGTATTGGAATGTAATTTACCTTCAAGTTAGATCAAGTGTTTTCAGTTAAAGCTGGGTTGGCCCCTTTGCCATTTAACGTGCTAGACTGTGGATCAAGAGGTCTTACTATTGTTTGATCTCTGGCTGGTGTCATGAAATTATGTCCTCTTATAAATGAAAGGTGACACACCTTTCTGTGCCTCTTTTTACGGTAGAGTTTGAATGGGTACCCACAATCTGTGAGAGAAGTGTGAGTTAGTGGTGGGAACTACCAGCAATTAAGTAGCATCTGGTCTGGGAAGGGTGGAAGTACCCTACAATGATTTGTGGTGCAGAAAGTGGGACAAACTATGGTATCAAAGGGTCACTGGGTTCCCAAGACACCTTTTTCTTCATCCTGGTCCACTTTTTTTTAATCTTTACTTTTGCATTGTTTTTTAGTTCCAAGCCCACAAGACAGTCCTTTCTTGTTTCTTTACTGATGTCTGTACATGGGACAAAATTCCTCCTTTATTAGAAAATCAGCCATCAGATGTGCTAAGGGCACTGTTACATTACTTGTACACCAGTTGTTTGCCAGCTGACATCTCAGATGAAACTGCAAAAGAGCTTCAAAAAATTTCTCAGTTGAATGGGAAGGATATTGGACATCTAAGCAAGCTTTGTACTGAGTATCTTGAAGCAACAGCTGTGAAAAATAGTAAGCTATTGATGATGTTTAAGAACATTTTATGTTAGATCTATTTCATTTCCAGCTTCCCCTTTTTTAATTGTTAAAGTGAATCAGGCAGCCTTCGGTAATTTACAGCGTAGCATCAGCTTTGAAACATTGTCTCTCTATACACAGAGAGGCTCAATGGGAGTCAATGGGAGAAGATTTCAACAACATGCCATGGCTAAGATTTGATTAAGAGATACAAAAAAAGATTTGTTTCTAGGGCTTCCATCAGAAGGACAACATCCTTTATCATTCATGACTGTGGCCTCAATCCTGTCTTTCTTATTTAAGATACCAGTTCTCTTTCAAGTTTTCTTATTGTGGTTAATTTAAAAGTGAAAGCATTTTGAAAACTACTCTCAGAGGAGAATGCCTCTCATGGATCTGGCCACAGCATGATTCAATCCTCATAAAAAAATGATCCATGTTTATTCCTGATTCAAATGCAGCATATGGCTTGGGTTACATGTAATTTCTGAAGAAATAGACTGCTCCCTGCTCCAAGGCCCTTTCTGTAGGTTTTTTGGTTTTCTACCCTCCAGAGAAAACATTTCAAAATAGTTGTGGTTCAAGTTAGAGTCAGTGAAAAGAGAACCTCTCTTTGCAATGGCCAACTGATGTGTATCTATAATTCACTTTAATTATATTTAAGTCCATAGGACATCTCTGCTCATGGGTGGTTGGGCATTATTGAATAAATACATTAGTCTTAAGCTCATAACTTGGCTTGGATCCCACTACCTTCCAAATTCTCCATCTTGCTTTTTTTCTTAATGTGACCTTGTCCATGCACCTTTAACCCTTTTCACAGTTGGCAGGGTTTTTTCCACATAAAGCATTAAACCTTTCACTCCCAAGATCTAATTAGTAATTCTCCTTACTATCTGCCATACAATTCTCACCTGCCTGCTTGATATTGTATTGGTATTGTTAGGAGAAATTCTGTCTTGGTCACTTGTGGGAGTGAAAGGGTTAATCATGGAAGCACAATGGATACCCATCTTGTCTTTACTATCAAAATGGTACTATCCTCAGTCTACTACAATTCTTCATCACAGAACTGTTGAGAATTATCTTTTTCTTTATTTTCCAGGGATCAAAAGTCTTCTCAGTGACTTATATAGTATATTGGAGTACATTTTACAAATATCAGAATCTTTAGCCTCAGGATTTCGTCATGATAGAACAAGTAATGGAACCGTCAACACTGGAAATGGATGTAGAGTAGATTCTCTAAAGATAGTCAAAGTTACCAAAATGTCACTGAGGCAACTATCAATAGGTAAATAATTTATCTTAACAATTATAGTTTGTCTAATTGATATGAGCAGCTCTTCAAAGTGGATGTCCTTTGTTGATCCTTGCTGTTGACAAAGAAGAGGGTCACAGCAAGAACAAGTATAGGTGCTCAGTCTGAAAGTCTCTGTGCTTCATGCCTCAAACCCTTTAGACTTGCTCCATGTCCAGGTTGACATGGATTCAGGCACTGTCCCATCCTGTGCTATTGGTGTGGTACTGCTGATACATCAACCAATTAGTGCATCACAGTATTTGAGCTGGTACTCTGCTGAAATGGGATAACTTTACTCCATAGGGTAGCAAAGGGGTATCCTGATCCTGTTTCATGTACAAATTTTAAAAAAATACATGTCACATGTACTTTGAACAGTATTTCATGCATCAAAAATTTAAAAGAGAGAGCTTCAAATCTCAGTCTACCCCTTGCCTTTTGTTAAAATTAATGCATCACATAATTATATATTAATTTTGGGCCTAATTGTGTATCATCTATATACCCTTTGCCACCCTCACTCCTCTGTGATTATTTGGGGACAAGCCATCAGTGGATAAATCAGAAATTTGTTTAAACAGTTAACTTACATAACACGATTATCAATGATGTCCTAAGAAGTACTTTTCTTACCTTCTATCCATTGTAGAACTATTAAGACTGGAGTTGTTGATTACACAAAGGTGGTTTGGAGTAAAAAAAATTAACTGAAGTTTCATTAAATTACCAATGTTCCGCTGTTATCCTATTCTTACCAGGAATGTTGAAGTTTGTTTTGCTCTGTGACATTTTTACCAAACACAAGTCTGACCTATCAAGAGAAGAGAGACAAGATATTATTCAGCACTGTTGGAAGAGGTAAAAGAAGAGAAATTTTCCAATATTTTGGGATCTTCTGGAAATTCCTTCAGCACTAGGTTATGACTTATTTGGTTCCACTTGGCACAGTTGTCTTCTTTTTCTGTTTTTGTTCAATCAAGCACTGACTTCAGTTTTACTGTGCCCATGTACAGTGTGACATGAAAAATGGTATTACACTAGTTCTATATTTCTTTATTAATTTTTTTTTCCCTCCTAGGTTGCCTTGTTTTGTGGAACTAGTAGAGAAATTCTTGACAGTTTTCCAAGGTGCTTTATCTGGACTCAGTGAGTCTGAGAGGGAAGACATGGCCTTGCATCTTATTCCAGAGGTTTGTGAATTTGAAATAACTATAACAGTTAAGCTTCATGGCTCTATCTTTTAATATCAAGTAATTGTTGATAGATCGATTGGTACTATTGTAATTAAAATGTTTTTATAACAAATAATAAACAAAATTGATATTGGGACAAGAAGTGCTCTTGCAGTGTTTTTCTCCCCATCTGAAATATTGAATGGTTCCAACAAACTGGCTTGGAAACAGAGCGAAGTTATCTGAAATTAATTAACCTTCCTTCATCTCTTGCCCCAGAAACTGGGTCAAGAACAGGTTATTTCAGGATCAATAAGCTTGTACAAGGGTTGAGGGAGGAATTTGTAACAGAAGGGGGCACCCTACTATTTCCTATTACTCCATTGTGTTCTTTTTCTGTACATAGATTGAGAAGATTTGGTTAACATCCACTCAGCTGGGAAGTGATGCCAATTGTGCTCTGGAGACAATTACACGGAAAGTAGACAAAGATCATAAATCAAAAACACATCTTCCAAAGATGGCAACTTCATTAAGTAGAACGCTCAGAAATGTGAGTAAATACAAAGTATTTATAGATCATACTATTGGTAAATCTACTTCATCAAAAAGAAAAGAACAAATTGTGAAAAGGGAACTTTAATTTTAACTTTGATCATGTACCCTGGTTGCAAAACCAATCAAATGTCATGAATTGCATAATTATGCAATAATCAGGTATAGATAGAGAGTGGAGTGTGGCTGTGCTCATTGTTTGTGTGGCTATGTTCATGTTTATTCTATGAAATTTTGGGAATGGGAATGTTTAATTCCTCTTTGTAAGTAAACTGAGTTTGATGTTAGTGTAGTAAGTTCTGTCACTTACAGTACGAACAGAGGAAACAAGGTTATAAGATGCACCAATCATAGCTCACATACAAACTAAGAGATATTAGTATGATTTGGATTTGTGTTAAATTTGTTTAATCTTCAGGCAGTTCACCTTAGAGAAGTTATAACACTTAAAAGATTTCACGATAAGGTCTCATCATCACTTATGTTTCTGCTGCAAAAAAGGTGAGAAAATCTTTTTTCCCAAGCTCTGACCCTATATTTAGATTAAATTGATTAATATTTGTTGAACAAAAGCTAAGGCTGACTTTATGTATACTAACTATTATTCATTGGGATTAAAGCATGGATCCTGTTTCAACAGAAAGTCTTCACATTCCAAATTCTTTGCAAATCCTTTTTAATAGGAGTTGACCCCATATAAAACTCAACTTTAAATCACTATCTGTTCATAAAATTAACAATGTTTTATCACCTGGTATTTTTTTTGATAAACAATTATATAATTTATAGTTACTATCGTCAATTGGGATAAATAATTTATTATTATTATTACTATCAAATTAATTATTCTTATCACTATTTTTGTAATAGTTATCTGTCATTATTTTAAATACCAGCACTAGCACTAGTAGTAACACTAGTATTTGTTTTCGAATTTTTAATTAGTATTATCCTTAATGTCCACGTATTCTCGCTGTTTCAGGGGGGATTTTACTTCTTTATCAGAAGAACAGAAGCTGAGATCTGTGTTAAAGACCATGGATAATATGATGCTAGAGGTCAGTAATAATAAGTATGTGTTATTAGAAGAGACTATTGTATTAGTAGAGTGGGTATACTGAGAGACAGCACTGGAAAGGGATCAACAGTGACGTATGCAGAGGTGGCTTGAAGGAGAGAGGCTGGGGAAGACCAATGGTTAATTGTAGGGGGAGGGGTGGGACTGTTTAGGGTGGACTTGTATGAAATACGTTGGGATTTCATGTAACTGTTCAAAGTTTTGAGGTTAGAGAAACAAGGTGAGAGTCCAGTTAATCATCGAGCATGTAGATGATGTTTTTTAATCAATGCAGATACCAGATCACATTCGCACTCTCCATAAATTTCCAAGAATATTTGAGAAAAAGATGCCATGGAAGCAGTGGAAGTATTTGTGTAAAGAGTGGACGTCATTCGTGGTAAGAATTGGCCGATCTATAGCAAGTAATTTAACGTCATAATTATTATATAGGAACATTTTAGGGCATCAATAATTCAACAAGTGGTTCTACAATAGACCAAAATTTATCAAACAACTTAAACAAAAGCTTTATTTTAATTTGTTAGTTTTCAGATCATGATAGTTGCACTCGTCAGTAAAACTTGTAGACTGTTTACATAGGGAAGAAAGGATGTTAGGAACATCTATTAAAGAAAACTTACTGGTAAACCTCGCTGGTCAGTTTTTGAACAAGGCGCCTATTATTTAAGTTTTCCTGGGGCATATGGGTGGTGATTTTGTGACTTTTGTGCATAAACTTATTTCTTTTCGCAGAGTCTTAGTTTACGAAAAGTGTTAGCAAACAAAGATATTCTTGAGCCGGTGGTGGAACAGACAATTGCTTTAATTCATGAAGACCAGTTTACAAATCTTGTTCAGGAACTTGGTTTCCGAAAGGAGAGTTTTAGTGAGGACAAGGACGAGGACATCACTAGAGAAAAGGTAACTTTTTAAGGAGAAATCGCTCTTCACGGATGTAAAAACTTCCTTATTACTGAGAAAAATGAGTGGGAACACTTACAGAACATGGCGATGGTAAAACAGTCATTAATATTCACTGCGGTCAGTCTCTCGAAATTTATTTATTCATTTTTTTTTGGTGGGGGGGAGGGGAGACATATAACTGTTTCTTGTTTGATCCATCTGAACTTTTCGTGAAAATCATGTGATTGCTTATTGATGATATCCTTGCAATTGTTATTATAATACAGGAATAGTTTAAACTCTGTCGATGAACAGTAAGTTTGGGGGAAGGGGAAAGGAGACATATAACCTATTTCCTATTTATAAGTTTTTAGAGGTTGTATGTATTTAAAGAACGCTTTAGCGTTTAAATAAGCAATCAAACGTTTCTCGAAATTTCTTTTCATAAGATTGTTTTTATGACAAAAAGGCTTTTTAATTAAGTTGACTTTCTCTTCTTTCTTGTAGAAGAGCAGAGGTCGTGTGGAGTCAATAATAACTTGTCCGCCGGCTGATAAGAGCCCGCTGGCTCAATCAGTCAACCAGCTATTGATATCTGGAGCTCATGCAGACATGAAATTTATTTTTGACAAAACAGACTTATCTCATTACTCCGCATGCACCGAGTGCAAAAGAATATGTGATCAGAACGTAATGGAGATTGCTGCCCATCGTGTTATTGTAGCTACACGTTGTGATTGGTTTAGACGGGCACTGCTGAGTGGCATGAAAGAATCTATAGAAAGGTACGAGGGCTTTGTTAAAAGCTCCTTTTTGGGGTGCGATGCCGATCGTTTACATATTGTTTACGCAACTGGTTCACCAGTTCGCAGTCGAAAAAAAGGAGGGAAAAGCTTGACCTGAGAAGCAGTTGGTTTAAATAAGAAGAGCAATTTTAAACTGAATTTTAAAATTAGCTTAGTTTAGTTCTGTTCCCTGATTGGTCTGTAAAACTCGCCCCAGCCTCTTAACCAAGCAAAAGTGTTGTGATTACTTCTGTCTTTGGTTGTACGACACTCAATCGAAAAACTCTCTAAAGGAGTAGTTACGTCAATGTTAGCAATATCTTGCGTTTTATTCGTTTACCTCATCGAACCCCAGGAATACCTAGAGGTCGTTACTTCGTGAATTTATCGCCTTAAGGGACCGATTGCAAAAATGTCTGGTTTCTCACTCGTTTGCGTGTGAACGGAAGAAAGGAAATGCATAGAAAATACACGTACGGACCGAAGCGATCGACGCCTTAAGAAAATCCGTTTACCAATGTTACTGGACCCAAACCTAAGTGATAAAAATAAAGAAACATTTCCTTTAGATAGAGAGGAAGAAAGAATGGCGTATTTCTGAACTCCTCGGTCTGGTCGACATTTACTTGTCTAATGAGTTTGTTGGCCGAGTTGCCAGTGATAGATACGATTTGTTGGTTTTCAGGCGGATTTTAATTCCCGACACGAGTCCATGTTTGTTCTACAAGTTCCTTGGTTATCTGTACAGCGGTATTCTTGATAAGGACAGCCTTAGTTTGGACGAGCTTGCCGAGGTGATAGCATTGAGCGATAAGTACGAGGTAAGGGGTAAAATTCTTTTCTTCTCTCGACCACGTTCTTCTTTGTGTTTGACACAATTAATGCAGTCGGAGCATTAGCGTAAGCAGTACTCATTTAGAATTTCATTCCATGGTTCGTATGGGAAAACAGAAATCTCTCGATAGAGCAATTTTTAAAAGAGCGTCAAAACTAATTGGGAATCGCTTTGGTTTTGCTTTATTCCGGTTGTTTGTTTGAGAAAACCCGCGCCACACTCTCAACCATTCAGATTCAAACCAAAACCAATCACGACCTGGTCACACGCGTTTTCCCGCGCTTCAGGTGTATTGCTTGTTGTTACGTCGAGTCTTTATTCTTCGTGATGTTTTCCTTGCCAGGATTGGCCGTCCACATCTCAGTGAGAACTCTTGGTCGCAAAGGAATTTATTACTAGTATCTCTGTCTCTATTTTTCTTCGATTATTGATGGCTTTTTACAGAAAATTTGGCATTTTCAATTCCAGGTGGATTCTCTAAAAGAAATTTGTGAGGGAGTCTTACTTCGAGACATCGATGGAGATAACGTTTTGCTGTATCTTGGTATGGCGGAGCAGTATTCTGTGGCTCTTTTAAAGGTAGGAGACGCGTAGAGCACCGAACGGGACTACATGTAACTCACGGTGCCAAAAATTTCCAAGTTCGTCTTTCATGAGTCAACTTAAAATCAATTCCCAGTTTTGGTGTTTTGATATTGCGACATAACCCTACATGAAGAGTACTTATGTTTTTTGTTTTTTCTTGTTATTTTTTTTTCAGGAGGAATCATTTAACTACATAACGTTGCATCCTGAAGTCTTGGAATCAGAAATGTTTGAAGAGCTCCCTGACACTTTGAAACAAAGTATCGAGGACAGAATTCGTCAAAACATGTAAGTGAATTTTGGTTGGATATACGGTAAGGTCAGCGGGTCATAAAAAACACTCCTTTACTGTATTGACCTTGCTTTACTTATGACTCGCCCACGAAGCAAACTCCAACCTTTATACCAATCTGATTCCACACAGAAATTCGGGAAAACGGAGGTGATCTAAGAACAACTGTAGAGGGATTATTGAGGCTCAGTGGGGTTTTCAGTCTCTGAGGTTCATCCTCTTTAACTTGCATTCAGGTCGTAAGACCAACACATCTCATTGGATGACAAACATTTTCTTATAATTTAGGCCACAGGCTAAACCAATAACAGAGGAAGTAAATCAGGCACTTGCTGTAAGTATTAATATAATATCTTTGAATGGAAGTTACCCCCTTGTATTTTATCTCGTAACTCTGCATACGAGACTTGCTCTTTCACTTGCTGGAGTACCGGTAGGAGTACCGCTTCTCCTCCAACATTGGGTGATGATGATAACGATGCATTTATGTAACGCACTCTCTACAGGAAAATGCCCTAATGCGCTTTACGACATTGTGGGGGACTTAACCCAGACTGCATTGAGGAGTTACAATTGCTGAAAGGGAATTTTGCAGGTGCTCCCAACTTAGGAATTTTTTGAAACAAGGCCAGACCACAACACCGGAGCTACGTTCCCTACTCTTTGAGAGAAGTGCGTGGGTTCTTTAACGTCCACTGCTAACTAGTACAGACAAGATGCAGGAGACGAGAGTTCAGGTTTTCTTCTTCATCAAAGAAGACTAGAAAGTCTAATCATTTCCAGATGTCATAGCAAAGATAGCACATTCTTCTCAGCTATTTGAGACCCTTAGTATTTGTCCGGTCTAGATACCAGTCTTCCATAGACCCCCCCCCCTTTCCGGTTTTTCATCACGTTTCCCAGGTAGTTGGCCTTTATTTTTTTATATTCAGGAGGGAGAGAGTCATTGTGAGGGTTGCACGTCCTTCCTCTAGGTCTCGCCAAAGAACGCAATCCAGTTACCCTGGATTGGCCATGAATTCCAGCGCGCTGATCGTGTCTTTTAATCCACAGATTACCCGTTTAGAAGATTTTGAAGGCCTGCTCGAGGACGATTTTGTTGAATATTCGGAGGACAGTGATGATGACAACGACGATGACGTCATGCCACGTGGTAACAGTCAAATAGAGCGTTGTATTGAACAACTTCGTGATGTCCTCGGAGATGATGTGCCGCGGAGAGAACTGGTACGAGTGACTCTTGCGGCGGATTGTGATCCTAACAGAGCTCTTAACTTTTATTTCACTTAACGTTTTAGAGGAAATTTCAAAGCTTATTTCGGGTATTTCACATGAAAATGGTAAAACTACAGTAGAACCTGTATTAAGTGGTCACCAAGTATTTTGCGGTCGGTTGTCAAAGTCCCGAATTTGTTTCTCTCCAATAACTGTTAAGCGGTCTTGGTCACCTTTGAGTAAGTGCCATCGGTTAGTTTTTTTCCCACCTCTACTGAACGGTCACTTTAAGTGTATCAGCTCAAATTAAACTAAGAATAGCCTTTTAAATAAAAATGAGTCCATTTTATCGCCCGAAATCAATGTTAGTGGCATTTTTGAGGGATTTTTTTGTACATAAGTGGTCAGTTATGGCATTAAACGGCGTTTTTTCGTGGTACACCTATCCTGTGGAACCTGTATTAAGCTGTGGAACCTGTGTTATTCCCGTGGGTGACCGCTTAATACAGGTTTGACTTTAGTTGGCAAAGCACACGAAAAATCTTCACTAGCGCGAGAGATTATCCTACATGACGTAACTACTGCCGTGACGTAATCGTTGCGTGAAACGCTCAAAAAGAAATGGCGCTTTCAAAAATTTCTTCTCTGATGAGGGTTTCAATACAAATTCCAGCCATTTTGCCAGAAGATTGGGAAACATTTGAAAAGTAAACCTAACAAGAGATGGAACGTGTGGGCGGGAACAAAATAAATAAATAATAAACAGGAGTTGTTGAAGAGATGGAAGTTAGCGGCCTCTTTTTTCCCTTTGTCGGCTTTGTAAACTGTAAAGCTACGTATGTTGACAGTGATAAATGACAAGTTTTATTCCGGCAAAAGGTTGATAAAGGTGTCTAAACACCTTATCCAAAAAAACACCTTGTTGACACCCTACAGGTCTCCAAGACTCTACCGGTAATTTAAAAAATTTTCCAAAATTTTGACTGGCAAATCGTTTCTCAATGTTGAAATTTTGTACTAAAAATTGAAAAGTAAGGACGTGTAGATTTTATTTTACCCAATCTCGCCAAAGCTGTCACTCGATTTTTGTAAAGAGCTTTGAGGTAAAACGTTGAATTCAAATGATTATGAATAATGATTTAAAACAGTTGCTATGTTGGACGTTAGCGGGACTCGGATTGAAACTAAATGATGTCTTTTGTACCAAAAATATGCCTTATCTATAAGAGTAAATGCTGAAATTGTAATAATTAGGAAAAGTAAATAAAAACCCATGCAGAAGTAACTCATTGGTTCTCCTGGTAGCATACCCAACCAGCGCAGTGTCTTGTTATTAGAATATTGCAATATATATTCTATTATTGTAGAGTTGTTTATCAGACTAATGGACAATAGTTATTCTTCTTTCTGCCAACCGGAGGTGAAATTAGCATTTTAAAATCATCAACCGGACAGAAGTTGTTCGCTATTGCCCATATCTCATCGGATTTATTGTCAATTTTGTTATCCTGTGTTGGTTCCCCATTACTTACTGCTTGAAAGAGTAGATAAAGTTCTGTGTTGCTGGGAAACCGGAGAAAAGGCATATCGTCGTTTACACAAACCGCTGATAAATAATTTATCTACCTAGCAAAAAGGAATTTTTAATTTTCTCTAAGTATATTCTGTGGTCACCACTTTTAGCATAAACACAATGTGAGAGCAAGAGCTGAAAAGGTTTCTTACGTGCGAAGCGGCCATCTAACGAAAGAGCGAAAAATATATTTCAAATCAAGCCGACGAAACTTGACCTACCACTTGAGAAAAGCGCAAATGTTGAAAGCTTGCAAGAATTTTATCGAACATGGGATGCAGTAATTCTAAAACACTGGAAGTCAACACAGATGTCCCCGATGCTCCTAAAATTGAAACAAGTTCATACTCAAAAAAGAAGGAAATCGAGGATTTAAAGCACGGAACAAGAACACAGATATTGGCCAGCAGCAAAGCGGCTTCGAAAATCAAGATGTACATTTAGAGAGAACTGGAAACTGTAATGGAGTGGGATTAATTACCCCGTTACGCAAGAGCTTTCAAATCGGCGATGATGTTCATGTGCGCGGTTATGTCGGCGTTGTAAAGTTTGTTGGTGTTACCGAACTTGGCGAAGGAGAATGGATTGGAATTGAGATGCAGCAGGAAATAGAGCAAGGAAATGACGGATGTTACAAAGGAATTCAATATTTTCCTTGCGCACCGAAACGAGGTATTTTTGCTCGACCATCTGTGGTATTCCTTCATGAGGATTCACCAGAGAAAAGGGAGAAAATCAGCACGATTTCACCTGCTGGAATTGCGCTTTTACAGATCCGCTGCCGGCGGGCATTAACAGCCATTCGTCGGCGTAAGCTTACACTTCGCTCTGACTTGGAGAGGGCGGTAGACGCACACGTCAAATCGATACCCAGAAGCGAAACGGAAAACGTCACTAAACTGAGCCAATATCTTACAGAGCCGTATGAAAGCTTAAAAAGCAAGGCTTTCGCTGTCTATCGATGGATAACAACCAACATTTTCTTCGACGTGGAGGGTTATTTCGAAACAGCAGCAAGGAAAGGTACAGATGCCGAAAGTGTGCTTAGGGAACGCGTCACGATAAGTGAAGGGTATGCTAATTTATTTCAAGAGCTCTGTCGAGCTTCGAACGTCCCAGCACGGAAAGTAAGAGGGTTCGCTAAAGGATATGGCTACCAGATGCGGCAGAAAATTCCTGAACCAAACCATTCGTGGAATGTTATTAGAGTGAACGGTGGAAAGTGGTTTATTTGTGATCCAACTTGGGGCGCAGGTAGTATCGAGGAGGACATGATGTTCCACAGAGATCCTAACGTACACCAATTCATGATTCCGCCCTCGATTGCAATTACGAATCGTTTCCCTGCTGAAGAGAAATGGCAATTTTTAGATGCACCGGTTACAAAAGAAGCCTTTGAGAGATTAGCTATCCCTTCAGGTCCTCTTCGCATGATGAATGTGGCTCTGAGTAGCCACAAAGAGAGCATGTATACTGCTTCAGACAGCGAGCAAATTGAAATGACTTTTTATGCAACGGACAGCGCCATACTGAAAGGAGTGCTAAAAAACTGTGTATCTGGGAGAGAACGACCCACTACCAGAAATATGGTCCGTGTTGAGCCGGCTCGTGAAAATAACAAAGTTAAACTAACGGCACAGTTTCCCTCTGCGGGGGAATTTGTGTTGGACGTTATGGTGCTTATAGACTCCAAGTGGGAACATGGGGTCAGATACTGCATTTACTCCACGGCAGGCGTTGGGGAGGACAGAGGAGGATTTCCCACAGTTAGTCTTAATTTAAAACCCGTGGGATTTCAGTTGCACAGTCCGCTAAGGAATATCGAAACCAAAGACGGTAAATGTAGTGTTACTCTAACCTGTAGTAAAAAGCGTTTCGACTCGCTCACGGGAAGGTTAATCAAGACTTCTGGCGAACGAACCGGGAAAGAGGAAGACCACAGGCTCTGTTGCAGCGAAAAAACCGAGAATGGTTTCTGCCTAAAAGTGCACTTGCCGAGCAGAGGAGAATATAAACTGAGCATTTACGCCAACTACTACGATCATTCCAGGCCCCAGGAGTATCTGTGCACATACTTTGTCACTGCTTACAAAGGAGCCGGTCCTGTGCCAGGTTTTCCTTTAATATCAGAGCGTTTCCGAGTCTGGGGCCTGACCCTTTCAAGCCACTCGGAAAACATTTTAGCTGAAAATGGCCGAACCTCCATCACCGTTCAAAACCCCAAAGGCGTTTTATTGTCTGCTCATCTCCGACTTGACGAGAAAGATCTTCACGGAATGTGCGCAGTCGTGAACATGGAAAACGAGTCTGTAATTCAAGTTCATGCTCCTGAAAGCGGCTTTTCACGTTGAACATCTTCGGTCGTAAACGGTGGACGCGAAATCTGAATTTCTTTGCTCTTTCACAATCAAAGCTTTAAAAGGTGTAAGCAAATAATCCAGGTTTCCCACAGATCTCAGAACTTTTCAAGACCTGGCAGATTGAGTTGGTTGACCAACACGAAAATATCCTGTCAGAATGTGGAAGGGTTTCGATAAAACTTAAGACCCCAGGGAGTATTTTTTGTTCAAGCAACTCTACACCAAGGGGATGACAATCTCCCCCATGAGCTGTGCTCACTGAAAGAGAAGGATCCGTCAGCAAATCAGCGTGCATTTTCCTGTCGCTGGTTTGGTACAAATTAAACATTTTGGACGGACGGTCCAAGCGCTAAGGGGCAATTTTTTGTTCATTTAGTGTGCTGGCGACATCGGCATTCCGGGGGAGAACCTGGGTTTGCGCGTCTCGATGAGTTTCGGGAATGGGGTCTTCGACTGAGAGTCACCGACAGAATATTACTGTGCATGACGGGTCCGTGGCTATCACATTCATTAATCCAAACGCTATCAAACTGATTGTTCGTCTGATAAACGCCGGAAACGGGGAAAACTCAAGAAAAGTCGTGTTTTAGCAAGGAGAGATGCGATGAAAGAGAAATTATTTACTGCCAGCTTCCAGACAAAGGGAAGTACACCTGACGTCCTAGGAAAAACACCCTCAAACTCAAAGAAAAAAGTCCTTCTATGCAGTTACCCATTTGTTATTGACTCGTTGACATGCTACCTACAGCACAAGGGTGCTAATTGAGACTTATTTCAAAAAAACTCGTTGCAAAACATAAGTGTAATTTTATGCAAGCGTGAAAATAAATGGATTGAGGCCAAAGTGCAAATGTTGTGATAAATTGTTGTCACAAAAAAAAAACATAAATATTTAAAACATGATACCCGCAGCGAAAAGGAGTCGTCAATAATCCTTATGGTAGCTTATTCTAAAACGCTGTTAATTAACTAAAACTGCCAAATTTGGATTTTGAAACAAACTGCATTTCTTGTAAACATTTTCTATTGTCTGTCTTTAAGGCAGACAATTTAGTCATTCGAGTTGTTTTGTTTAATTTTAATTAAAGATGAATTTTGAATTATCAATCGCTTAATCGTTATGTTCGTGGTGTTTCTATGTTTGGTTGAAGCTAACAATAAATTTATCGGTGAAAGCAATTTTGAAAGTGTTGGGGCATGTGATTATGAAAATGACTGAGCCTACTTTGAGTTGATTTCTCCTTTGAGTTTTTTTTTCCTAATCTCAAGACGTACATGCTATTAACATAATTTTGGAAGCAGAATTCAAAACATTCAATTAAAACTCTTTTTAGAATTATGAGTGTCAGTGGAGCGGTGCAGGAAAAAAAAAAGGTCTATCTGAAGGAAGGTTTTAGCAGATAAAAGAATACGTCTCTAAATGTTCTAGATCTTTTCTGTAATCAACTGCACTCGACCGAGTTTTTATAATAGTACGGTTGGTGATCTAATGGGAATTGTTTGACTTTGAACACGACGTAACTGTTCCAGGATTACGATAACTCGGTTCTGACTAATATTTTTGTTTCCATTACATCAAAATGTGTATGCAATTAGGAAAGCAACGATATCCAATATATTTCCTATCAAAACTGTAAAAATTCTTTTTTCCAAATTACAAGTACAAAAGAAAGTAAGGGAAGGTTTATCTCAACCTTATTTCATATCAATGCATATTCTATACTGTTCTCTATACATTTCTAAAGTGTTGACAAGGAGAATATGTTAAACCATCAAGAGCTTTCTTCAGTTGGTGATCATTTCTTTATTCCCAAGACCTTTGGTAAAAGTTTCTAGGAGCAATACGTAACTGAACGAAGCATAACAA